TGAGACCAGGCCACTATGAGTTTGAATGGGGATCTGGGTATACACCCACCACCACTTCCCACATATTCATGCACACACACACACACAGACCCCCGAGAGCTGACTTAAGGCGGGCCTATGGTGGGGGAGGGGGGGGAAAGGGAGAATCATTCAAAAGGTGAGGTAATTGAGCTAACGTAAATGAAAGATAGCATTTGTGAGATAAAGTCAGAGAAGTTTAAATAGAAGTAACAGAAAGAAAGAAATGAGATAAAAGTCAATTGCCATCAGTAAAAGCGAAAACGCCAGCTTCCCTGCCAACCCGGATCTCTAAAGTTCGAAGGACTTTAACTACTGTAAAAGTATGTAACTGCTTAAGGGAAGAGGGCACGGTTTGACCCAATTGTGAATTTTATATATTTGTAATGCTTGTTGTTAAATCTTTACTTGCTGAATCTTTGTACCTTTTTTGTACTTTTCAACATATGCTATGGTATGAATATAGTTGATTTATATGGAAGCCATTATGACCCTAAAATTGTCAATGCATTCTTCTCAGTGCTTGTTATTGTTCCTCATCCGTATGCAATTTATCATGAAAGTAATCTAAATACATACACGTGTGATAAGATTCCAGACTCTGAAGAGAAGACTCAGCACAATTATAATCCCTGTATTTCCTAAATCTAAATTGCAGTTAATAGTAAAAAATGTGGGCCTTTGTTAACATTTGTCATGCAATTGAGCACCAAAAGAGGGCTGATGTCATGGAACTGCACGAACCAGTGTTCACCGCAGAAAAGAAAGCAAATATAATATCTGACGTCAATCTCATTTTAATTTCACAAATAGCCACGTATTATATTTGAGGGCTCTGTCACCAATTTAAAGTCTGTGTGCGCGCATACAATATACAGATCAAAAGTGCACATGTGAAATGTGAATATGGTACTTAAATAGCGCATGACATTTCCATATCACCATGGCAACTATTTAATGATATCATTCTCTCAAAGAGGCTACATGTGTATTTTTGTATAAATTAAGAATACATGGTGACCCAGGACACACATACGTACACATTGCATTTTATGTCAGCAATGTGTGGCACATTAGGAATGGACCACTCTTTCAATGATTTCCTCGTACAGCAAGGGAGTAAGTGTGGTTTTGTGAAAGTCTTTATGTGCTGTGCAGTACATCAATGCACGTGTGTCCACCAGCATTTGATGACTTAGTTGGGCCTGTGGCTGGCGGGGTTATTGATTAACCGGACTTGTGTACCACTTGTGTACCAGTCACGTGGTTCATGGCGACTCGGTTGAGGATTGCTGTTGCATTCTACAGGTAAAGGACCCAAAGGTTGTTTTTGATCGTTATATAAATGTTCTAGACTTGTTCTAGACTTCAAGCTTGGCTTTGAATTGTTAGTTTGTGATATATTAAAAAATCCGCAGACTACCTGCTGGATCTCCTCTCTGTTTCGAAGAACAAATGTGACCTAAGGTCTTCGCTCATTTACCAGCTTCACATTCCTTATTGCCATACAAATACTGTAGGAAGGGCCTTTGCTATTGATGCCCCCAGGGTCTGGAATGATATTGCCAATAAACTTGAATCACTACCTATGAGATCTTCACTCAAAACTGCTCGAGGAGTTGTACACCCCTAGCTGCCACTGCTGTTCAGTGGCCTAAAATCAAATGTTTCGCTCTGGATGATCTTTAAAGGTGCATTGGAAAATTTTGAAACTCCTACTGATGCTCCTGCTGTTGTGGAGTGACTCATGCAGCCAGCTATGGCTATAGGATTTGGTGGAACATGTTGTTTATGTCGTTTATTGTGAAATTTCGGTCAGTTCCTATGATCACTGTTAAATTGGTTTTATGGCTTTATTTTGGTGATTTCGAAAAATAATTGGTTTGGCCATGTTTGTTTGTTGTAGTACGGAGTTAAACTGATGGATTTAATCTAAGTTGTCTTGTGGTTCATCTTCTTGGTTCTTTCGGGTAAGTCACGTAGAATCAGAATAAAACAATAAAACAAAATAAGACAATAAAATTCTCACGACGATGTAGTTTATATTTTAGTTTTTTATTAGTTTACTATATGGTATTCATTATATAGTGTAGTGTATACCCAGTTACTTTATGTTTATAGCTCAACTTATTGAAGAATATATTGAGTACATTTATTATATTGATGTAGTTTATACTTAGTTTTTTCACATCGGTTTATTGTATGATGGTTGGGTAGTTGCAGTCCTTTAGCGTCCATATACTAAATGCCTCTGTTGAGATGTAAACTTTGACTTTAACATAGCTACTTCCGTGACCAGTCACATGCTAATCCATCACATTAACATCATGCTAATCCCCCAGTTACATGCTAATTTCTGACTTTAACACCCTGCTGATCCAACACTTTAACACAGCTATTTCAATGCTAAATTCTCCTGTTTGATATGTAAACTCCTTTGTCAAGGCGCTTTACCTCTCCCACCTAGCTTAAAAGACGCTGCGAATCTTAGCAGCGTTCATTGAAGCGCTGTCATCCCGACAGTTCTGTTCCTTCACCTGAAGAAGGCTACTTGTGTTGTGGCCGAAACGTCGTGAGAATTTTATTGTCATATTTTGTTTTATTGTTTTATTCTCATTCTACGTGACTTTACCGAAAGCTTTAAATCTAAATTTTGTCTTGTGGTTGTTGTTGTTGTTTGACTTGCATTCCACTGGGATTTTTGCACACAGCGTTAGTGTACGGTGCTTTTTTCTGGAAGATTTTGCTGTTCCTGGATTTTTCTGTTTGCGCATAGTCACTTTAAGATGTTTTTCTTGTTCATGTTTTTGTTTTTTGTTTGTTGCGGTTGCACCCGATTCAAAAGCCGAATGGCTCACAGGGCTATACCAAAATAAATGAAACTAAATAAAAACTAAAAAAATGAGGAGTGGTTTTAACACTGTGCACAGTAAAGGATGATGTACTGTAATTACGTACTGTAATTGTAATTCTCTAACCCTAATACTGTTTATTTTATAACTATGCCCATGCACCCAGAGTATGACTACTTTAAATGCTATTGAGAATAGAACACATGTAAGTTGTACAATGGTGACAAGTACAGTACGTATACTGTACACACACAGTACTGATAATGGGTGTAAGATACCGATATAAGTGGATGGTATAGATAGACATACAGCTTAGGATTAAAGTAATATTTGAATAGTGAAGTACAACGGTTATTATCAAAGACAAAGATGGTTTATCAGTGGTAGAATTGGGTTTAAGAGAAACTGTTATTGATTAACGAGACTTGTACACCAGTCACGTGGTTAATGGCGACTCGGTTGAGGATTGCTGTGTGACACCACGTGCTGTTGTTGCATTTTACAGATTGACCACAATAAATGTGTTTGCCCCCGATTTGGAGCACCTGCCCACGTCCTTCATTTCGAGTGTGCAACAAATGCAACATCCTCTGTATGCAGAATACATATCGATTATGTTCTTGCATATGGCAAATAAGTCAAGGTACTAAATGCCAATGTCGAGGTTTGTTAGCCACGAGAGGGTTTCAGGAGAGAATTTGTGAAGTTTTGCGATTTCTCCATTCAAGGAGCGCAGACTCCGGTGGTTTATATACGCAGATGAAGCCTAATATTCCATGGTATGTTTGTCAATGATTTTCACAGTTCACAGTTATCGCTCAATAAACACCCCCCAAACGTCTCACCTCCTAGCTCTGACGTTCCTCGAAGACTGCAATTTAACGATCAATCGCACTAGCACATCGACAGGCTGATGTGCATATCTCCTTCGTCAACGGAAAGAAGAGCCACGTGCGACTTGGCTGTGTAACCCAAACTATGGACCATAGAGTAAGCCCTCTGTAGTCTACACTCCTTCAATGGAGGAGTAGCATTGCTTATACACTCTCCCCTAAAGCCCTCTCGTGGCCAGTGGACCTCTAAATTGGCCTTTAGCTCCTGAACATATGAAGTAAATATGAATATTTATTATTGTGCACTCGTATGAGTCCAGTCTATCAGGAATGCGCATTGATCACACATCGAAGTGGGTTGTTTGAAGCAACAACACTGCTTTGAGTGTTGCAGAACTAGCTTGGACTCAGGGATGGATCCTGAACGTGAGCTTGGATAGCGGTGTTCCAGGGTCTTTGGGCCGAGACCACGAAACTTGCACTGGCCATAACACACATTGCCATGCGCAAAAATATAATAGCTGAAACAATCTTAAATATATGACTGCTCAGGATCTCGAAGGTGGAGGTAAACAAATCTATTACTGACCATAAGGTATTGGTGGAAATTACACGAAAATTGTTTATCAGGAGCCAGTCTAAAAATAGGGTTAATTTAAAGGTGGTGTCCATAAATTCCTTGCTTAAGCCACTGCTGGGAGGGCCTCCACTGGAGTGAAGTATAGACAGTAATTTAGTTTAACCTTCCACGATGACCAGATGTGTTGGGAAAGGTTGGTGTACCACCACTTTGCCCCATTACACACGAGATGGCAATTAACTAAGTGCTGTGTTCCCATTTATAATGCTGGATGGGTATAGGTGGCATAGATTCGAGAAACTTGCACTATTGTTTCGACTGTCATGCCAGAATATAAAATAAAATCTGAGCTCTTTGCATTGCAGGTACAGTGTGCTGACCATAACAGTATGGCAGCAGGGGCCAGTCTCCCCATAGAAGAAACACAATTGACTTTCGACAGTCATTATAATTCCATTTACCCATCAAGGCTGATTATTACAATTGAATCGCTCTCAACTCATCTGCGTTAAACACATCTTAAAGCAAAAATCGTTGATTTTACTTCAAACATTTAAAGCGTAAGCCATTTTTTTACCTGTTAAAGAATATGAAAAAAATTCTGAATGTTTAAACGTTTGCCATTTGCTGAATATGCTCTCACGCTTGGGGCTATCCTTCGTATACACATGATTCCCCATCCGTGTAAATGGACACTTGTTGTGGCAGCCAACCTACCTTGTATTGGATTTCCTGAAGAATGTCGGTCAACCCTTTGAGTCCCAGGTGCTCTCGACCTATCTGTAAACCATATCAATAGCAGCCATTCATTGGTACTCCCATCAGCAAATTGTTTTTCGAATAACAGTATGGTAAAAAAACAATGTACGGAGTATCACCTCCAATCTCACTCTCATCTCGACTCAAAAACTGTTATCCTTGCCGCTAAGTATGTATGTATGTTGAACTTCTTTCGCACCGTATGTACCCAATCGTGCTAATCGGAAGTGATATGTATCAAGTACTGATGGTTGCATGTGTTATAATATCTTAAACACTTACAAATACAAGTCAAACACAAAGGAAACTAATTTTTTAAGGCACTTAACTAAACTAAACTTTTCATTTTACCAGGTACGGCCCACTGGGCTATATAGTTCTGTTTCAGAAGTGGCTTCGCCACAAATGATAGCTTAATGAAGTGGCTTATCATGTGGAAATTTCTAGCACCCCAATAATCTACACGCATGTTTCTAAATGTTTAGGGAAAACCGGGCAAGCCGGAGAAAAATCTACGCGACCACCGGGAGAAAGTGCAAACTCCAAATATATAGGCGTCAGGGTCGGGATTGAACCTATGACCTCCTGTATAGCAGGCAAGATAGTTAACATCTCGCCACTGTGGCAATATGTAAAAATTCCCGACAGAACCCTCCTTACAATAAGTCATTCGACTTAACATGGTGTCCTTAAGCCAATGAAACAATATTATTTAATGTACAAAGTCATATTAAGTGGATGCAGCTACATTAAGACTGCATCAATGGAAAGTACATCATGTTACTGAATCCCTTACTCCAATTAGCAAGAGGGTAGTGGGTCATCTCCGTTGGTGGCCCTGAGCCAGTTGTGGAAGTGTTAAGCTTATTTAAAGCCCATATTTATCTATTGATAATGCAACATGTAATGTGAATTGATGTAATACAATATTACATTATAAATAATGTAATCATTATAAATCATGTAATCATTGTGATCCGCCATCATTGAAAATGTTCAAATCCTGGCCACCGTCCACTGTTGTGTCCATTTTGTATCTACTTGTAAGGGGACCATTGGCGGCTTGACTTTTCACTTCCAATTTACAGACGAAAGCCTCTCATCGCACGCCAATTAAACACGAGGTGAACGAGTCCACTGTCGAAAAACAATCGCCCGTAAACATCAGCAATGTCACGCGCATGCCAAAAAAGCACGGGTATGTCAATAACTGTGAAATTAAATTCATACCATATGATACAATATCGAGTACAAAGCACACGAGGCACTCGGTGCACAGGACACAGAGAGCTTATTGATAGCACACTTTCAGAGCCAAGCACAAATAGAGAAATCTATTCACCTAATGCCTGCACACACACACACAGGGCTGCATTTTCAGTGAAGGGACACTGCACGCATTATAAGGCTACTTGCTCAATAATGTTTTTTTATTTCATACATTCGCAATTTGGCTTTTGCGATTTTTATCGTATTCATCCTGCCATTTTTCGGGGTCGATAAAATGAGTTCCACATTGTGGGGACGTCAGCTGCGGTTATCTCGTGTAAAACTCGCCCCTGCCGCCATACTCTGGAACTATCTCCCATGAGGCATCACGATGTCTCAAGTCTGTGGACATTTTTAATGCTCATTTTTATATCTTATCGATACACTTCCGTTTATTCAACTTTTTGCCAATTCAGCAAAATGGAGTTTAGTATTTATTTTAATATTTTGTCATTTCTTATTTTTTCGTTCCACGAGTTATTGTGCTGGCTGTCTGCTGTGTCTTGTACAGTGATTTGAGATTCTTGATGAAAGATGCTTTATAAATAGCATTATTAGTACTGTATAATTTCCACCACTGGCTCAGTATCCTAAACAGGATGTTGAACACTGCCTCAGTAGGCAAATCACTTAAGACTATTTTTTTAGGTAAAAGTAGTTTGCTCCATAATCGTTTTTTTACGTTTTGCTTCCGTGCTTAACGGTGCTGTATCTCAGTCGCAGCAAGGTTTAAATGTGGATTGTACATTTTGTCTTGGAGCTGCGACCACCAGAGGCCAGAGACTGGCCATGCTAGAGCGACTTGCTTCAGCTGTACGGCACCCGGTGTGAATGGGGCCACTGTACAGCCACACAAAAAACCCGAACAGGCCGTAATATAATGCTTTGGTTATATTCTCCAAATAACCAGCCCAGCATTGAATTTCAAAAACAGACCTGAATGAGGCGGCTGTGTTGGAAAACTGAAAAGTGGAATTGGGAATGAAAAATTATAGTTAATTAAAAAATGGTTTTATGGTCATCATTTTAAAGCATGTATTCATGCTACCGTGAGATGTATTATTCTGAAAAGTTTTATATGTTGGTGTTTTCATTTTTCTATGAAATTCTGACCTGTCATTTCAGGATGATTGTAGTAAGTGTCAAAGTGAATTTTTAACAAGCTTATTACCAGTCCAACACACAAGCGTTGCCTGCTCAATAATTCAGCTGAGTCTATTAAATGCGGTCTCCCTCCTCAGTGCTGGCCTGGCTGGGAATGCCAGAATATGATTTTAAATCACATACAGTATGCACTTCAAAAGAGTATTTTGATTTGAAAGAATTGATGAACTCAAGATGGGAAAAAAATGTAACTGCGCGTTTCAAATCTACCTATTTCTCCTCTCATCATCAATCGTCATCGTCCACCATTATTTATCCACTGCTGGATGAAAACATTCCGAAACCGATTATAGAACCGGATTGAATACTTAAATAAATACGACTGCACAGTTTATGCTTGAATGTAAATATATTCGCAAAACAATAGTCATGTAATGCACCAGGGCACTCAACAATTAAAGATATCTGTTGGAGGGCCACAATTGGAAGCGACGTGAGAGCACGTGTACCTTAGACGAATTATTGAGGATGGACTGGGAGAGAAATAGTGAGGTGCCTTTCTCCTTTACCATGACTAATTTGTTGTCGCGAATTTTTTTTTTATTTTACAATATGCAAAGACAAAGATCCCCCCTATAGCCTCAATGTACTATTGGAGCAAGAGCTGTTAGCAAGCACATTTGAATGCCAACGTGGAGCACGGGGGGTAGGTGGCCACCACCACACCCTGCCACCTTTTAATTCCATGCTGATGTTTACACACCATTCCAGGTACTCAATGAAGGGCGAGTCAACCTAAGGGAGGCCTAGAACAGGCACAGACATTCATCACTGATGTTGGCTGTGAATGGGAATCGAACTCTGGTCGTCGGGTTCGTAACGCAGTGCGCTAACCACTGCACCACCGCTCCCCGCAGCGTAACCAGTTGACCCACCAACAAACTAAACCAATCAGTTCCCTCGATTTTAGAGCACTTACCCTTTAAAGGCAAATGCTTGTCTTTGAAATATTGGCCGACACTCTACGAGTGTGGAATGTTCAGTACTGGTGCAGTGTTACCATGGAGATGAGCTCCATCGCACACGATACGAGCACAGAGACACTGACTCGAGTTGAAGTGTGAGGACATTCATGATATTGTGACAAAGTGCAATGCTGCCTCAATATTTGTCTACTGTCTAACATTTAACGAGATACATCTATGTGTACACGACACGTGCACTTGGTGTGAACTTCTTTTTTTTACTACACGATGCATGTACTCAAAGATGCCGATTCTCCCTCTAAGACGGATCGATTACTGGGGCTAAGTTTTGTTAAACGATCGCCTGTTTGGGCGCTCGGCGAACAAAGGGCTAAAATGAGAGTGGTGTTGGAAGCGGTGCAATCTCACCTGAACAAACAGAGCAATAATAGCAATCCCATTTTCTTTGCCCATGGCGTCCTCTATGTTTTTGTACAAAGTGGCATTCCAGTGAATAAGGTGGCACTGAAAAACAGAAGAGCCACGAGAATGTTTCAAAACTCACCACGGTGATTGTATGCGAGGAGTAGTAATACTCTAACAATTATCATTTGCATACTCTCACAACTATGTTCATTGTGGTCTGGTTGGTGAAGGAAGTGCTCAGGACCAGTTCAGATTTGTGAAAATGAGATTTATTGCTCATCGGATTCCTCCGGTATAAATAAATATTCTGTTTATGATTTTTGTGATATCACCACTGCTTTTAGCCATGACCAGGAACTGACCTCAGGTTGCAGGAGTTTATACTGCAGTGCACTTACCACTACTCGACCTGTCCTGCCATGTACACAATATATAACAATAATCAAGGGATGGTCTCTTTGACTACCAATAAATGATTATGATGATAATAATAACAATGATAAAAATGTAAGTTCATAAACTATAGTAATGGGCCTTCTGGACTGATATCGTTGAATGCATTGGATATAACATCCGATCATCTGTGTGTGGCTTGACAATGGGTGTTTTGCAAAAAACTGGGCTTGAAAATCCATTCAACAACAACGGCCTTCTCACCTCCATGGGGAAGGCTTTGAAGTTCACGGTGTGCTCCGAGCCTCGCTGGTCTTCTTTACCCCAGTGGAAGCAAATGTGGGACAGTTCAAACTCCTGGCCAATGGGAAAGGGCCCACCTGTCGTCACTAACATAAAGGGGGGGGGGGGTGAGTGAACAAAGAGAGAACGGACATCAATGTCACCATCGCCGTCATCACCAAGCCTCTACTCGAGCACCTTGAAGGTGGATCTCGCAGACATAACCGAGTGTGCGCGCGCGACACCCAAGCTGCCAGCAACACACGAGGTGGTCTTGTGGATACCTGTACCAGAAAGTGGGTTGCTGACAAATCTGTGTGGAATGTGTGTCCAGTTGCCTTGCGTGCATGGGGGTTTTCTAGCAACACGCGATGTGAATAAAATAAGATAAATATACACTGACTGGTAAGACTTTTAAAAAAAAGTTGAGACTCACTTAAGTAATTAAACGACCAATTTTCATTAATCATTGTCACCAAAATCTTCTGAGCAAATATAACCTTTTGAGAGTTTTTGTACAGAGGAATCTTACGTGAGGTCACCGCGCAGATATTTGGCCTCGACAAGGATTCATGAATGGGAAATCTCACAGTTTTGTTTGTCTTTAAGTCGCGGTTGCCGAGCAAAGGCCCAAAATGCCAATCGGCCATCAACAAACCGCACCATTAATGTTTGCAATGGACAAGGATTTAACACGTTTCTTGAATTGAGCATGGTTGTACGATTGGCAAAAGAGTAAATATAATTGAGTAACTATCACGGTTTGACCATGACACCAGCAGAGACCATCTGCTCGCTCCTTCCTCCAACGGATGTCTCCGGATCTTGCGCATGCGTGCAAGATCACAGCAGACAGCAGGGTCAATTTAATAGCGTTTTAAGAGGGCATGAATTATTATCAGCCGGCCAAGGTTAGAGTCTCACCAGAGAACCCTGGACCTAGGGGTGACTGCACTGACCAGCAGGCCACCCAGCATTAAAGGAGACATGGCACGGTAAATTAATTCTACGACAGTCTGCCAAAGCAAAGTCTGTAGTCGCCTGTAAATACGGGAAGCAGCAAGGCTGCTGGCTAAATAATTTAGCAGGTTTCCTGAATGGAAAGAAGCACTTACGTGAGCTTTGAGGTCATTTCTAAATGCTGAAATGCACTTTTATTTATTACACTTTTTTTGGGATAATATATTCTACCATTAATTGATAACATATGCTAAATCGGGTCCTTCGTTTAAAAAAAACACATTTATTAGAATGTGCCCAACACTTGATCCAACACGGACTGATATTGAACATTGTGCCATTGGCTTATCTCGTAAAATATCCAGGGATACCAATTTGGCATAGTCAATTGGGGTTTCACGATGCCTCCATACACAGCTGAATACAGATTCTTCATCTCGTGACACATGTATTGAATCACAATTGTAAGAATCAATGTTTTTAAATTTGTGTATGTTGTACGCAATCAGTGCGTGTGATCACTGTGGCTATTCAGAGGGTCAAACCATTCACGGCAAAGGTTAGAAACAAATGCTTCGCGACCCCATCTTGTGACATTTCATTTCGGCACCAGGAGTCGGGGCGACGGGTGAATCATTGCAACTGTACACAAGCAATGTCTTAGATTTGTTGACTGCAAAACAGAACGGGTGTTTATGACTAAATTCTAACATGGCTGAGTACCACTTGTGGCAAAAAGCACTTGACTTGCATTTGTAAAAGCAGTAAGTTCAAATCCCGGTTGAGGCTTCAATCAGTACATCCCGCCAGGTACATCAAATTGACACCACTTTGATGATAAACTAACAATCGCCAACCTCTGAATCAGAATCTTTATTAAGACTGGAGGCATTCGATGAGCTATGAAGCTCTTTTTCACAGATGACCAGTCGAGTGGTTCCCATAAAAGAATGTGGAATTTCCAACCCAGGCTCAATGGCTACCAACTCACATGAGGGCTGCCCCACTGCTTATTTGAGAAGGGAGCCACATATAGCCCATTTCCACTGGCATATCTGAGCCGTGCCAGTGTGGGGCCCTTACGGTACGTCCCCACAAGGTGTCTAAATCCTGCCCGGGACCAAAACCGGACCAGTGGCAGAGCTAATGAAACGCATGCATTATGTGTGGCGTCATCACACCAACAGGAGATACATACAATTACATTCAGCAAGTCGGAGACTTGACACGCTGATGAAGCATTGCATGAGTGTGTGCATGCACATCACTTCATCATCTACACACATCTCAATCATTGAGTGCGACGTCGGCAGCATGGCTCGGCTTCTGTCGTGGACATATACCCCCCGTGCTGTCTGACCTGCACTGCCGGCCTGGCTCGACATGGCCATGGCACGGCTCGGATGTTCCAGTGGAAAAAAAAATACTTTTTGAACGTCACGTAGTGGGCACTCGCCTACAATCCAGCACATTGGAGGCGAGGGCTTGCGGATCACATTTCCAAAACCAATGGGATGTGAGGCGGCCAGAAGTGAGTACAGTTACATAAAATTGGTTTAGAGAATCCATATTTGTGGACCCTTGTGTGCTATCACCTCACTGAGTGACGTTTTCTCTGGATACTCTGGTTTCCACCAACACACAACACAGCCTCGTCGACAATAAATTGGCCAAGGATATCTCAAAGGGTATTGAGGCTCAGTGAAGCTTTCCTTGATAGATTCACGATGCATGTGGGATGCCTGAATTTTTCAACCACTGGCTCAGGGCCACCAACATGACCACTATAATTGGCATACAAAACAGTATTATTAAGTCCATTACACATCTGAACGTCATGAACTTGGTAAAATTTTGGGTCACTTTATATGTTTGTTCCCACTTAATTGTTCTTCTACAATGATTCCCTGCTTGAAATAAATTAGTGCAAATGCTGTTCATCAGTGTTCTGCCTCATCTAGCCTGTATATCATATTTATTCGTTTAGTGGAAATGTTTTCACCTCTGTGAATAGTTTTTTTACGTGCTTTCATTACGAAGCTTATAATTATGCTAATTTCAACTTTAAAAGCAAACGCTATTCAATCGCTTTCGAAGACAGACAGCGGCTCAAAGGCCCGAGAAACGAGACACAAGCGGGAAGGCAGCCAGGCTGTCAGCACGTGCAACATTCTCCCCCAGGTTCTGACATCCTAACACTTTCCCATTCCGATGACGTACGTGTACATCGTTTGTTTTTCTTCCGGTTCCATGCCGATGACGTTTTTCGTCCGATTCAGATAAAAGAACTGAAATAAATTAACTTCATCGGGACGCCTTCAAGTCGGAAGACGTAGCGAAGCTCCCACAAGGCCATGCGGGAGGGCGTGTGGCACAGTTTGGCGCCAGCTATCACAGAGTGCGGTCGTGTCGCTTCAGTTCTCTGCGATGAGTACAATGTCTTTAAGAACAACGGCGCTATATCTCTCTTAAACTTGCACATGTCTCGGAACGGGGGTTAATGTGCAATTTTATTGAGGGACTGTGCGTTATCTTGGTGTGATCTGGGACTGTTCGTGCTGTTGTTTTTCTGCCTGGCCGAAGCTTTGGAATTGATGTAGTTGTGAAATTTTAACTCATTATCTGTTTTACGTATTTCTTTTTAGTTATTTGCTTACCTTTCCTGTACTTTGGACTCCTGTCGTGTTTTGTATTGTTTGTTGTTGTAACTTTTTGACCTGCCCCTACTGGACATCGGTGAAACAAAGATTCATAGCTCTTCAGATTTCTCCATGATAAATAGAGATTCTGACTTGATGAGATCATGACGCATTATGTGCGATATGGCTGGAAATAAAGATTACCGACCAAACACATCAACTTTGGCAGATGACAGCACGATTTTACCAATCCCTGCTTTGGGTTTACTTATTGATGGCTCTGCCCATGCCAAGGAGCTCGGCCTATCAAGCTGACCATTTCGTCTTATCCACACTGTGTTCAACCACCACACTGCAGGTCTCTGGAAACCCACTCACTCACCCACTCACTCACCACAAAGCAGGTCTCAATAAACAACTCACTCACCCATTCACTCATCCACTCACCACACTGGAGGTCAAAATACCTCTCTCTATCTCTGCTTCTTTCCTCACACCGATCCAATTTGGAAATCCCTCCCATCATCTTCTTTACCAAGTCTTCTTTAGCACTGTACGTAACCAACCGTGCTAATTAGAGGTGCGGGTGTTTTGGGCCTGTGAGGCTGGTGCTGAGCAATCGTGATAAAGACTACAAAGTTGCCGCACTACTGACCACGTGAATTATTCCTAAGAGGCGGTCGCAATGGCTACCAGGCCGCCTAGCCGTTTTTTAATTGACCATGCCATCTTCTGTGATTCCGCACGAACGCAAAAGATCCGGAGACATCCATTGGAGGATGGAGCGCGCGATGGTCTCTGCTGGTATCATAGCCAAAGTTCACGATTATATTGACTTACTCTTTTACCACTCGTTAAACCTTGCTCCATTCAAGAGACGCGTTAACCCTTTGTCTATTGCAAATGTTGTTCGTGCATCCTGGTTACCCCATGGGGGCCAGCCCCCCTCGCCGTACCCGACTTGGAGCGGATGTGGATGTGCAGGGAGTGTCCATCGTTGAGCACCTCGCACTCGCGACACGTCAGGTAAGAGAGGCAGAGCGGGGCGGTCAGGAGGCTCGGGTCAAAGGTCGCCTCGCGGGAGTTGATGTTGATGGGCGACTGGTTCTCGCCATTCGCGTCCGGGAAGAGCAGGCCCCACTCCATTCCTTCCGACAGAAAGCCGAGCGTCGGGCGCGGTCAACGGGGGGATTGTGATCGCCAAACCGCCGTGCTGTCTTCACGATAAAACGAGTTACGTTTCATTTGCTTTAAATTTCATGCCAGCAGGAGCAATAACACAACAAAATTTTTGTTTTACAAATAGCAAACCTGCAGTCATTTTGAAATAGGTAACCAAAAACAAATGCTTTTTTTATCTTTGAGATAGACAGCAGCTAGGGCTGCGTATTTCATGCTGCGCAACACAAACCAAAAGGTTCTCTAATAAGAAAAAAAAGGATACGATCAAGTATGCCATTACAGCACTCTAGTCACAACGCTGCGTTTACTATAATTTGTTATTATCACACGCTCGCGTTGCCGAGTTAGACGACAGCCGCTCCATCAGCAGAGTGCAGGAGAAAGGGCCCTCGGACCACCGTCTAAGTCCGGTCAGGGGGCCACGCGTCGACAACGCGCAACAGTCGCTGAGCACATCCACAGAATGGGTTGTGGGCACGTTAGCCCCAGGTGTGGGGAGGTTGGCTGCACCAGTCAATGCTGCATTCATTTATTAGAATACACGGGAGTGGCATCGCGGCGGATGTCACTATTGTGCAATCATGGCATTTTCTCACCGACTTTTAAAGGATGTATTTATGAGTGGCCACGTGGTGCAGGGGTGAGAGCAGTCAAGCCGGCAGCCACCGAGATTCTGAGTTTGAATGAGGGCAGCCACCTGTGACTAAACCGGGATCTCAAGCGGAGTGAATGGTCTCAGCCTTGTCACCAATGGTTGCAGATCAATGGTATCATATTACATTTGACTTTTTAATTAATTCAGCTTATGTCATCTCTGACAAATAGAATGTTCTTATTTTGTTGAAATGTGATGTACAGGGCATATAAAAGGTGTCCTGCACGTATGGCTAAACAAGTCTACTGAAGGGACTTTCAAAGTACAGTAGTTGAGTGGCATCATTCGGGGCTGTTCTGCACAGTTAGCCGCGACAGAATTTTCAAATGCAATTTCCTTCATCTCATCATCTGAAGCCGACGTCACAATTTGAGTGCAATGGGGGAAACTAAGCACGACAATATATGTGTTTCATTCACGTAGCTTGCGGCAAACATTTGTTAAGACAGTCTGGTACACACAGTTGAGGTATATATACTTAACAACATTTATTAATCCATCCATTTTCAATGACCAATAGAAGAAGACTTCCCCAACACCATGTTGGTGATGGGTTTTTGGTTTGTTTTGACCATGCATCACATCACTGTGTTGATTAGTTACGGGGCGAGGTTAGGCCCGGTTCTGATCACTAACCACTGTGCCCACCACTCAACCCCCAGGGCACAAATATCTATCTTCACTATAACCCGACATTCGTTGAGGGTTGTGGCGGCAGCATGTTGAATTGGGCAGTCCAGGCCTCCCTTTCCCTGGCAACAGACTCTAGATCTTCGCCCAGTGGGACGTGCTGCCCGGTAGAGTTCCAGGGAGAGTCTATCGGGGGACATCCTTACCAGGTGCCTGGACAACCTCAACTGGCTCCTCTCAGTCCGGAGGAGCAGGGGCTCGAATCTGAGGCTCTCCCAGATTACTGAGCTCCTCACCTGGTCACGGAGAGTGAGACTGGCAACCCCGCGGGAGAAACCTAATTTCGGCCCCTTGTACCCACGATCTCATCCTATTGGTTATTTCCCAAAGCTCATGACCATAAGTGAGGGTGGGAACGTAGATCGACCTGTAAACCGAGAACTTTATTCGAGAACTCAGCTCCCGCTTGACTACAACGGGACGGTACAGCGCCCGCAACACTGCGGACGCCGCACCGATCCGCCGGCCGACCTCCCGCTCCCACTTGCCATCACTCGCGAAAGAGAGCCCGAGGTACTTAAACTCCTCCACTAAGGGCAGCTGTTCCCTCCTCACCTGTAGAGCACAATGCACCGTCTCCCGTGAGTGAACCATGACCTCAGATTTGGAGGTTCTGATTCTCATCCCAGCCTCTTCACACTCGGCATCAAACTGCTCAAGAGCACGCTGGAGATCACAGACTGACGGGGCAAAGAGCAGCGACACAACCTCCATGCCCCCATACTCTATACTCTCCATATCTCAGCTGTGCCTTGATATCCTGTCTGTGAAAATCACAAACAGGAGTGGAGACAAGACGCACCCTTAGCAGGGTCCAACACGCACAGTGAACGACTTTGATTTAATACCAAGAATACAGACACAGCTCTTACTCTGGGAATAGAGGGACCGGAAAGTGCACAAAAGCGGCACCGGTACATCATACTCCCGCAACACCTCCCACAAGACATTGTGGGGAACGCGGTCATATGCTTTCTCCAAGTCGATAACCAGACATTTGGTTTTAATTTCCATTGGTGGTCCGGAGCTAGTGATGGAAATTGCACCATAGCTATTACAGAGAGAGATGTCCCTCTCCAAAGAGTTTTCTTTATGTCACATGAGCCTGAGAAGATGATGTCCAAGCCTCCTCAAAGAGTTCCTTTTTTGCAAAGACTGTCACAACACAGACTTGCATAATTACAATGCTGGAAGCCTTGTTGATAAATCATTCATCATTTATCGGCTCACTATTGTGTTGTTGTAGTAGTTGTATCATTAAGTAGTTCTCAGCACATTCTAATTTTACTTTAAGATGCATATGTATAGAGAGATAGGGAGCCGTGGTAAAAAAGTAATTAGCGTACTGATCTATGAACCTGACGATCTGAATTCGATTCCAGGCCACAACAACAGTGGCAAGTGATATCAGAACTGGTCCTGCCCTCCACCCATTTACCAACCCACAATGACCAGGGTGGGGAAGTATGGTAAAAAAAACAAGCCCATTGCCAACAAGGTGTGGGGCAGCCTTCAATCATTAGTCTATTTAGAACGGTTGAAAATTATATTATTATTACAATGTATGTGTGTTGAACTTCTTTCGCACCGTACGTAGCCAACCGTGCTAATCGGAGGTGCGGGGGAAGGACAACAAACTGAACACAAAAAGCAGTTCTAAGGAAATAAGTTTTAAATCTTGATTTAAAAGTGCATAGCTCCAGTGGCTTCATAAGATCGGAAGAGCATTGCAGACAACCGCAGAAGCGCATCTGAAAGTGCGCAATGCAGTGACCGTCTTTGTTCAACGGTTAGCCAAAAGCCGCTGTTGCGAGGATGACGGAAGAACTTTGTAATTGCTGTATTATGTGGTATTGTTCGTACAGTACTTCAGCATGACATTGTCAAAGTGGTCTACATGTGTCAAAATGATGCCACCACATCATCGCATCTTCAACGATGTCTGAGATCAGGAATTCCGATAACACTGGAAGCCCGAGAATTATCTCGCAGACACAGTCAGAATCGAACCACGCGTAACCCACAGTCTGTCGCCTCTTCAGTGATAAGTGCACCAAACTTTTGGGCCGTCCTACCAATTGCAGTGTGATAATTCACGTTTCATCAAATTATAAGGCTATGATTGCAATGGTATACATTACACAGCATTGAGCTGATATGCATTCAGCAGGGCACAGCTGAAAAACATTAGTCCAGAAGTCCTGCATACTGATGGGATAAAGCGTTATTTTACTTAATATTGAAATGTAAAACAATGACTAATTTTCTATTGCGTTTAATGTTATTCTCTTGTGTACATGTTTTTTTTAATTAAATGAAGATATGGTAGCAGGACAATTTTTCGGAAATCGAAGGAGTTGAATGTATTATTATTAAATATATCCAATCCGACCAAGTGGCTCGGCGGTAGAGCAAGTGGCTCAAAATCAAAAGGTTGCGAGACCAAATCCTGATTGCGGGTCCGCACCTCCGATTGGCACGGTTGGCTATGTACGGTGTGAAACATGATCAACGTACGTACGTACATACATGACTCAGCTCGTCATCCCACGAGGGTTGATTAAATACATACCACTGTGCTGGCAAATCAACAGACGTTGCCCATTGGAGAAAATATTGCCTTGGCCATAGGAATTACAAATTTCCAGCGATCGCTTACGGCTGTATACAGGAGATGAAGACTATCTAGATGCACATTTTTTTATTACTTTGACTTACGTATACAAGGTATATACTTTATTATGCAGCTCCATTGAGTCTGCTGGGCACAGTACTACGTTTAGAATAATTAATTGGGCCGCCGTGTGTATTCCTTCGCTACAAAGCCACGCTTGAACTAACCGGATTGCACTCAACAGTTTTTGATGGGAATGAGAGGAAGTGAGTGAACAATTAGCAGAAAGCATAACTCAGCTTGACGCTAAAGACGGGGAAGAGGGGGAAGGGTGTTTTAATTTAAAATGAAAACTCTCCCACGATTTGTCAACACAATCACCGGAAAGCGGCATTCATCTGAGACTGAGAAAGATACAGGGCACACACACACACAGCGTGCCCGTTAATTTAACGCGACAGCACTTCCAGTTAACGCAACTCCCTTTCCTACCCAGCAAGTTGTGCCACACTCCTCTTTGTGTGGATTGTCCCAACTACCTCCAGTGTTTTTACAGGCACAGCGGTACATTTTGAACAAATTGGCCGCAAAGCATCGGTGGTTTCGCTGGCAGAAACATTTAGAGACATGTGGCTACTGGCTACATGTTGTGGGAGTGTTGCTTCGGTCAAGTAGTTGTGGTCAATTGTGGCCACTGCGGCGCAGTCATATGAGGTTCATCTTTGGCGAGGTGAGGCAACGCCGGGCTGTGACTCGCAGCTTTCGGTGGCTGCATGACAACTCGACAGTCAGTGAGCTTGCAGAAGGCGACTGTCCAAATTCTCACCGCATCTGCACCCGATTGATTTGTGTGGATGGATTCACGGTGTTAAAAGTGTGCTATCCGCATCGGATCATATGTTAAATAGTATGGGCGCCACGGTCAATCGATTAATTTGCTGTTGATTGGTAAGTAAACAATACCAGCTTAACACTGAGTGGACAAGAATTGTTTTTTTTTATTTTCA